TCGCGCCCGACCTTAGGAACACGCTCGCACATTCTCGCGATCACTCTCGCGCACCCATCCCACCCACACGCGACAAACACACACATTCTAGACACGAGTACCGCAACACGCAACTCGCTCACGTAAACGCGACTGCACGAGGAACGCCGCGGGAGATGTGCGCGTCGTCGGTGCGACCGACGCCTCTTTCCGTCCCCCGGCGAGACGGCGAAGACTTTCCCGTTTTCTCTCTCGCATTCTTCCTTTCTCTCCGTCGAAGTCTCCGCCGCGCCGAGAATTCTCCCCCCCCCGCTCGCGGGTGACTCCGCTTCCGGCGGGGAATCCGTCTCGGCCGCTCGCGAATTAAACCGCTCGCGAGACGAGAATTCGCCGCTTGACGTTTCAATCGGAGAGGGAATGTACATACTTGTCATTGATAATTACATCCGTTATTGTGATCGCCGGATCGAGTTGCGTTGTAATTGTCATCGTTAATGTATCCGGCGTTCGGATTCATTCGTTATCCCGTTCGTTCGTTCTTCGTCGCTCTCTCATCGTGCTATTCGCTGTTTCCAGCCGCGCGCAGAACAGTCTCCGGGCGAACAATCCCGGAGTTCAAGCATCTCGTTCTCCAAAGTCGCAATTAAAAAGCTTCTCGTTATACGGGGATCATTCGATACTGCGTCTCCTGCCGCTCGAGAGTTCGTATTCGCAGATGAAAGGTCTCGAGAACACCGGGACGAACGTCGGGCGTTTCGCAGTCTCCTGCGTTAATAATGAATACCAGGTGAATTGCCGGACGCGCGCGGCCTAAGTGCGCCGGGAGGACGAAGCTACCGAGAGGAGCATAATTTTGCAATCAGGTTCGACGGACGCGTACAGGATGACGAGAGTGGGAGGGCCACGGAGAGGGAAGAAAAACGAGCGCCATCGTGCCGAGGCAGAATGCGCTTTGATTAATCGTCCCCGCGTCCGATTATAATCTGTTACGTCTCCCGAAAAAGTAAGAGAGAGAGAAAGAGAGAGAGAGAGAGAGAGAGGTCCGAGGGAGGGAAGACCACGCTAGGTCCAAAACAACTCTCCCTCCCTCCCGCCCTGCATCCGTCGTCGCGATCCATCGTCGTGAGCCGCGCTCCGCGAAATTAATGCGATTACTTTCGGTGCAATTATTTCCCGCGCCACGAACGCTCCGTGCTCCGGTAAAAGGGTACCGTGACAAATGTGAAAGTTTCCGTGGGAAAGTTCTCGTCGTACGTGGAAACGCCGTTATAGCCCTGCCGGACTCTGTCTTCCTCTTGTCGATGACACTGAAAGATAATCCTGGCTTTATTACTTTACGTTTATCGTAGAGGAAAAAGGTTTTTTTATATCCCTTGTCGATACAGTGATTCCTCTTGATATCTCCGCTATTAGGCGGAGGATTCTGGTGATTAATTATGGAATATAACGTTTCGCAGCTCGCTGTTACGCGGTGGTATTAATGTACCAATACACAATAGCCGGTATTCGTCATAACGCGTTTTTATTTTCGAGCATTTCGAAAGGGTTTCAAAGTACAATTTTATATTAAATTATATGTACTTCCTCGTTTTTTTTTAACTTGGATGTATTATCATACACACGAATGAATGGTTGAATGTTTTAATCATTATTTAACATTTTATTTCCGCGGTACACATTTCGAGTTGTGCAAAGTTAAGTAACAGTACGGCACTTTTCGTTAATGTGGCCCCACATTAAAATAGATTTAATACAGCCTCTTTTTCGAGATTTTCATACCGAAGATATTCGACAAGTCGACTGTAGCTCTACTGTTAATTTATAGTTCACG